GTGTAGGAGGTAGCCCATGGGGGAACGTGAATGGCCTTACTGTTGAGGGTCAGGAAAGAATCAAAGAGCAACAAAAACAGTTTACCAAGCTGTTCAAATCTTTTGTCAAACTTGTGGATGAAGTTTATGATGAACGAACCTTGATAGCATTTGAACTGTCCAAGAATTGCAAATATTGGAGATGGCCGATGGTTAGAAGATTCCTCAAAGAACGATCCATGACTACTCATCACTTTGATGGTTGTATGTTGGGTGTTCTTGGAAACAACGGTCAACCAATGAAGAAAAGTTGGACTATTGCAGGAAATTTTAAAGAACTCACCGTGTTAGACTCATTCAAATGTGATGGCAAACATGAGCATGATCAAAGTAGGGGCAAAGCTCTTAAACTTGCTGAGAACTATACCTTCAAGTTGACTGACATGCTCCATGAGTGTTTCCGGGTAGCTGTGGTGGGCCAAACATCCAAAAGGATTTCACCCGTTGTCATTCGTGCCTGTCCTGCAAAAATGGCTGACTCACGATATGCCACAGCACACCCGGCCAGCCGCGAGGCTGCGCTCGAAGCCACACGTGAGGCTAACAAAGAAGCATGGTTGCTCCTTCACAATCGCATTTTGTATGCATTGGCCATGCGCAATGAAGGTGAGAATCAGGCTGCTCAGGACCTTGTGGATGGTTTGATGACCGAATGGACGCCGGCTTCGGCCCTGAGGTTCTATGGTCGAGAGGATCCGCTTGCAGAATACCTTAGTTTCTGCTTTTTGCCAAAGGAGTCCCACATCGAAAAGATCATGCTGCCAGAGATGCCCGTCAATGACGTAATCTGGATCTTAGTCTCTGACTCGTCATGTGCATTGATCACAGGGCGTAGGAAGACACTTAAGAAGTTTGATCTTTCCGAGCACTACCGACAGCGCAAACCCAAGTACGTGACTGAGTTCATCCACGAGATGCTTTGGGGTAAAACTTTGCAGAAGTTGGTAAAGAGAGGGATCGAATTGGCCGCGGACGCCCGCGAGCGCTATCCTCATGCACGCATCAACCTGCACTTGTCCTGGTTCGGAAATGAATTGGTAGGGGAGGATGGAATTGCCCAAAATCCAAATTGGCCGTACGATGGTCCCAACGGGCACTGGCCCACGATCCTGGATGATTGTGAGCGCCACTTGACATGGTTCATCAACAAGGCCCGGGAGTTGGACTTGCAGACGGCCGGTCTCACGACCGCGCCCTGGAGCGCAGATTACGGCATTCATCCAATTTTCGATCAATTCTTTCGACCATTTGGAGCCCCGATTCAAAGCTCTAACCAGCAGCCTGCAAGGGCGTGCCAATCCGCGGTATCCGTGGCTAAAAGCAAAGGGGTACGCCGATGCAATGGAATTCAGAGACCAGTGGCATTTCGCCAACTCTGAAGAAAATCGCACGCGCCTTGCTGCCTATTGGACAGCTACCCTTTTCGCACTTGATTCCGGATGGCGGGTCGGCCAAATTGGTTTGGAGCTTTCTGAGTGTGCCCAGGAGACATGGGATGATTTGCGGAGGAACATGAGCGCCGTCCTGGACGAGCTGCCAAGATCCTATCAGGAGACATGTGCAAACATCACCAAGTTGCTTTTTGGAGAGTCCCGAAGACACATTGTGCCGACGGGCAGGTCATTCACCAAGGAGGACGTCGAAGCTCAACAACCTGACACTGAGGACTACATCGACATCAAGACGATGCCTTCGGGCACATTTGCTGAGCCTCCCAAAGATGACCCTCCAAAGGCCGCCGGCGACGGCGAGCCCGCTGCATCCAGCAGAGCAACAATCCTGGTCCAGACAGCTGAGGTCATGTTGAAGTCGCGGCCGAAAGCAGCACCAGCATCAATGGATGAGCCCGCAGATGACAAGGGAGCCACATCCAGCCAGTACCAGCCGCAGGCAACTGCGCGCTTCGAGGGACAAGCATCTGGCCACGTGAAAGCATATTGGATGGAAGAGCATTTGCCTGAATACCAATATACAATGGTGACCAATGCAGACGGGGACGATGTGCCCGGCATCCTCTTTGAAGGTACGGCTTATGAGCTGGAGCTGATATCGGCATCCGACGTTGAGACCATTGCCAGCCAGACTCGCGTCGACAAGAAGTTTTCTGATTTTGCAACTCGTGTCAACAAAGTTTGCAGGGGGCATGGATCCTGTGCCAAGGTGCCAATGGACAAAGACCTTTGGATTGACTTGGAGGATTTCGCCAAAGCCTTCCGCAAGGAAGTGCCCCCAGATGTTTTCATCACTGTCGCAAACCTGTTTGGCACCGCAATGAAGATCGACAAGCATGGCAAGAGTAGGTTCCAATTCTTGTGTGCAAAGATCTCCCATTTTCCTGTCGACAATGGCCTAGGCATGCCGTATTATCCTGTGAAAATCCGTGCAATTCAGGGTCACTCCGAAGCTGCCTTGAAAACCGCAGGGGGTCTTTATGCCAATTCAACCATGGTGTATTGCTCAGACCATGTATCCCCCGAGCGAAAAGCCGCCTTCACTGGCGTGCCCCTGTGTGCCATGACTGAGGTTCCTGAGGTTGTCTTCCATCGCACGATGAAAAGCAGCTGGAAGAGCATCGCACAGAACGGCCTGATCCCAGGCGGCGGTGCAACAGTCAACAGTGGCCGTGCCCATATCTACATGGCAGAACACTGTATTGGCACGCAGGGGTATCGATCTGGATTAAGAGCAAAATGTCCAATCGAAGTCAAAATCGCAATGCGGCAAGCAGTTGAAGCTGGTGTCATCTTTAGTCGCACAGAAATGGATGGGATTTTGTGCTCAGAACGCATCCCACCGCAGTTTCTGGTCAGCATCTCAGAAGAAGGACAGGTGCTTTGGTCCCGCGCCGAGAGCAATCTCGAGCCCAGCACATGGACTGGCGCGGCATCTGCCTCAGCACCGAAAGCCAAAGCGGTCACCTTGACTGCCCGAGATGATGCAAATGACGACCCAATGGATGACACCAGCACGGGGCGACCCGATGCCAAGTCCACTGATGATGATGCAGCCACTGCCTCAATGCAAGTTGACCAGCCGCCCGCAAGGACGCGCCGTGTTTACATTGCACCCAAGTACTGCGAACCTTTCATGGGCTCCTGTCCCCTCTGCCAGGTTGAGTACGTCAGTGGCCAAGTGACATGCACCACATGTGGTTTTGAGCCACTCCCAGTGGACGAAAGTGGCGATACAAAAGAGGCCAACAAACCCAACAGGAGGACCCGCATCCTTGAACGGCGAATGCAAAGTCTCGCCGGGTTCGGAATGTTTGGGAAGATGAGCGGAAGCTTGCTGACAGCCTTGACGGAAGAGCAAGCCAACCTGCTACGCCGAGAACTGGGCCCCAGGGGAATCACATCCGTGGAATCAGCAGTCCTCAAAGACTGCCGCGACAGGCATCGACGTGCAAAAGCGCTGGGCTACGAGGACGTGGAAGATAGATACACCAGCGACGTCACTTTTTGCGACCGCATCCACGGTGAGGGGAAGGACCTGCAGGACTGCATATTTGACGATATGTTCGCATATGGCAACCTCCCCGATCCCCCAAGGACCAAAGCTCAGATCTCGGCTGGCGTCGCCGCCAATGCCCAAAATGAGAACTGCTTATCTAAGTTGATTTTCATGTCTCAGCCTCGTGGCGTTGATGGCTTCCCAGTTGAGTTCCGCAAAACATGGAAGAAGGTCTGGGGTTTCATGTTTGGCCGCCACATTTTTACAGAGGATGAATATGTCAGCTACATCGGCCGTCGTGGCGCATTCCGTGGCCTGTTGACCTGGAAGGGTACTGTCCAAGTCCCTCTTGATGGCACTCGTGATTTCCTCGAAAAGGTGTATGAGGAAAACCTTCCCTTGGTTCGGAGCAATCTTGAACGCAAAGAGAAGCAGAGCGCCGCTGCAAAGGCTGGAGGTCCTGGAGGTCATAAGGCCGACCCCACGGTCGCGCCCACCATTGAGCGAAAGCGCAAAGCCGAAGCTGATGCATCCGCAACCGCAACAGATGTCACAGCCGCCTCAAGCTCTGCTCGCGCAGATGCCTCGCACGCTGATGCCCCAGCCGCACCATTTCTGGTACCCGAACCACCAACATCCAAAGCAGGAGCACGACCATTCTTGGAGCCTGAGACACCGCCCACTGCAAAAGCAGCAACCGCAGGAGTCACTTCGAAGGCTGCAAGCTCCGGTCGCCCGGATGCCTCTTGGAGTTGGAATCGTGATCACTATGGTGCACGCCGAGAATGGAGTTTCTGGCGTGGGGCTTGGTATTACCGTGACGAGGCCGGCGGCCGTTGGATCTTTTGGAACCGTTAGGGAGACGATGATTTTCTTTTGTAGCATAGCGCAAGATGTGGCATGGTAATGTGCCTTCCTTGCAACGCTGCGCTGGGTTTTACGGGCTTGAGCTTTTTAGAGGGACCTTTGAAAGACTGCACAAAATGTCTAAAACCAACTAAAGAAATTCGGCTACCCGCGAGGGTATGCTTTTCTGGGTTATTCGTTCTCCGCAGTCGTCCCTGCTCGCCCGAGGGGGGTGTAAAAACTCCTGCAGTAAAACCATGTATTGTATATATCATCGATCTGCCCGATAGCGTTGGTTCAAAAGAGCTGAGTGCTTAACGGTGTTAGCTTAGTATTTCACCCCATTGTCGGTTGACCTGGTAAAATACAATATATAAAATTAATATAATAATAATAACAATAATAATAGTAATGATAATAATAAGAATAAGAATAAGAACAGGAATAATAATAAGAAAAAGAATAGTAATGATAAGAATAATAAACATAAGAAGACTAATAATAATAACATTAACAATAACAATAATAATAATAACAATAATAATAATATTTAAAATAATAATATAATATAGTAAAAACAATATATATATATATATATATCTATTTATATACATATTGTGTTTATGATGACTATATCAGCAAGAATTTTTTCCTTCCTGGAAAAGGAGCGAGGACGGGCCTACAGTTGGTCTGGCTTTTCTATGGCCATGGGCTGCATGAGCACTGCCATGATCACCACCACCATCTCGCAGAGGAGGACTGGGGGATTCGGATCTTTGAGATAAGCTGATGAAAAAATTCGCACCGCTCCAGGAAAGCTGATATTGTTTGCCACTACATGGGTAGGGTCAAAATTAGGTACCCCAATAATTGGATGGTGAATACTAAACTAGACTAACATCTGTGGTCCCACATCGGTCTTCCATTTTGACCCACATCCACATGAGTACGGCTGTACTTTTCGATGTTTTAAGCTTCCTGTTCGTGCGCAAATGATTTTCCAACACTGGTGAAAAGTGGATCAAGTGGTAGGTCTCATCGGGTATTTTTAGACTTTAAGTCACACTTCTGGGATGAAACTTCCTACATGAAGCGTCAAAATGTTTTAGATCATGGTTTGTGAATCCTGCTGCTTTGGAGAACCATGATGTTTGAGTAAACCTGTTTCCTTTCTCGAGAATCTCGCAAGGGTTTATAGGAATGGCGCTCTGTATTTATTCCATCAACATTCTTCCCAGCAAAAAAACTGAAAATTCTTCCCGCTGTCTGATATTCTATCTGGCATCTATTCTGACATTCTTTCTGAAAAATAATCTGGCATTCTATCTGGCATTCTATCTGACATTCAAGTCTGGCATTCTATTCTTTCTTGCGCGCCGCTGAGGTTTGTGAGTGCCCACTGACATCTGGCGCTCGCAGTTGAGGTCCAGCAGTGCGGCAGTGCCCACTGAGATCTGGAGCTCGCGGTTGAAGTCTGGCCATGCCACTGTGATCTGGTGCTTGCAGTTGAGGAGCTGAGGGAAAAGAGTAGGAGAAGAAGGAGAAGAAAAAGGAGGAGAAGGGCGGGATGCACCTCTGATAAAATCTAGAGACCCTCACGGGCTGGAATCTCCAATCGCATGAAACTTCATAGTGATACCCCCCCTCTCCCACCGGCTGCTCACGACACCAATATCACAGTGTTCATGGAATTCTCCTCGGGGACACCGTCGGCATGCCGCCACTGGCAGCACATTCGGCAGCATCCACATCCTCAGCATCATTGTGTTTTCATGCAAAGCTCCCTGCCAAGCTAGCTTTCGTCCTATCCCCTAGGCCTCAAGTTTTTTTCTCACACCCTGAACATGGTCAAGCCCCAAATCGGAAATGGTTTTGGACAGTCGAACTATTTTGACCGAAAGAAAGTGGGAAGCACTTCCCCTATGATCGTGGTCACGGTAATTGATGAAATGGCTCACCTCACAAGATATAATAAACATATTGACTATCTTTGGTTTTAAGCTGGCCGTTTGACATTTATGTTCTGAGAACTACAGTATTTAGGTCGAATGGTAGATAGACTTTTGAAACCAAATGTCTCAATTTGTCTCAATCAATTGGATTCAAACAAATTAGAAAACGTAAGAAACTAGACCCTGCCAGTTTTCATTATTCATATTAGCATATATTAACGTACAGCATATTGAATTTTCATACGTTACATTGGAAATTGCAATTTGTTTTGGTTACACTTGGAAATTTGACTTTCTACACGTGGCAAAACTTGAGATTGCTGGAAGCAAACATTACTTTTGAATTTGTGCGACGGGATGGGTGCTGAAGTGGTAGAGTTTGTGGGGTGGGAGTGAATGCCCGGCCGTAAATTTGGACACCCACTTGCTATTTGAAAAACATCCGCTTCATGAAATAGATAAGCCGCTTAAGCCTCAATATATCTCGAATATCCCTGATGTGCTGTCCTTTTTTTGTCATTGATCAATTATAAACTCAAAACTCCATATGTTTTCCACTGATCATCTTTGAGTGCGAGAAAGTTGTGGCAGGGTGATTTCAAGCCATCTGAATCTTGGGACTTATGAATATGACAGATCCAACTGATCCAACGTCAGGATTTTTGGCCTGTATGGTTGGCGAGTAGCGTTCGGCATAGCGGCTGGACTGAATGGTCCAGATTCTGAGCGTGACATCTTGGGAGAATCTTTAGAGTTTTCGGGAAAACTTCACCACAAGTATCAATTTCTCAATTTCAAACACACAGCCTGGCTGAGCCGCTTGCGGCCGAGGTGGGAATTCTTAGCATTTTCTTGGGCTATGCCGTGAAGAAGTTGGTCAGGCTACCAACCGATTCGCACATTGCCGATGAGACGATGTGGAGCCCTTAGAGACCAAATCAGCAGTCGCAAAAATGTTCGCGGGTGGCCAAGTTGTGAAAATCGGAAACTCACCTCCAATGCCCTAATCATCCCTAATCAATTTGATGGACTAAGCTTTTTAATGCCCTAATCAGATGGTAAATTCTCCGTGGTTTCGTAGCTTTTCCAACCAATCTATTGGACACTGATGACTTCAGGTATGGCTCCATCAGCTTCTCCAAAGAGTTGCGCACGGTGATGTCTTTCTTCGAGGCCTGGACGACTTGACTTTGGACTGAAACCATAGAGCCACAACCAATGAGTTTAAGGGATTTACTATGGGATTTACCAAATGGTTGCAGAAAACAAACATGCAAGTGTCAAGCAAGTGTCAAGGCTTTTCTATTTTTCAGTCTTTGGTTTCACATGCTGTTTTTTTTGATGGTTTCACACTGTTTCAACATGTTGTATTCACGTCTTTTTTCTGCCTTCATCCCCAGGGATTTCCGACCTTTCCGAGGTGTGGACGTTCTCGGTAATCGTCCTGCAGGGTTGCTTCGCGTGCATCCCATGGACGGCCATGAGCTTCGCCACGATGTCGCTGGATGGCAAGGGGAGGGAGATTGCGGAAAGTGACATGGCAGGGATCCAAGTGACATGGCAGGGATCCTGGATCGAAGTATTTTGAGAGTGGATGGTGAACCACATGGACTTCCAAGTCTCGGATTTGAATGAGCTGCTGTTGACACCAAGGTTCTTGCAATACTCAGGAGTACCTGACTTGACGGCAGGACAGCTGGCGGTCAATGATGTGTGTTGTCCGCCAAGCTAGCTGAAGGCGAAAAAACCTGGAAGTTTTCCAAGTTTCACTGACTTTCACAGGGACATTCGGCACAAACCCGTTGCAGATTGTTGCAGGATGCATTTCTGGACTGATGCTCTTGTGCGGCTCCTTTGGGGCTTTGCTTGGCGGCTACATTGGTGATGGACTCACAAAGCACCCGTGGCGTTTTTGAGTTGGTCCAAGACTGGGGGATACCAACAGATCCAACAGTGGGATATTAAAGGGATAGTGATGGGATATAACTTAGCTGAACAGGAGGACTTGGGTATGCCCAAAAATCGGGGATACCCCCCCAACTTATCGCAAAAATCATGGAGGAACATGAGGAAAAGATGAAAACCCATCAGATTCTGAGGGTACATGATTTTCAGACCAGATGACCTCTCCAGCTTATTGCCAGGTGTTGAAATTGGCCAACTCTTTGTTTTGCAATGCAAATAGCGATCCCAGGGTTCTCAGCTGTGTCTGACACGCAGGTTGAGTCGTTTTCAAGGCCGGCCCTTCACAGCTCAGTTGTCAGTTTGCATTTCGATCCCTGTGGCCCTGTTGTATTACCACTTCGTTCCTCACAGCCCGGAAGCTTGGCGTCGATCCAGAAAGATCAGATCGAAATTCACGGAGCTGAAGCATCTGAAGCTGCGGAATGTGAAGAATTGTAATATCATCATGAGTCTTTTTGGGCTTGCAGGATATACACAACTTCTTGTAGGGCTTGTCATCCCAAAAGCCATCAGAAATTTGTGGCGATTTCATGTCATTTCTCTTAGGACCCTTTCCCAATTTTCCCAGCAGATCCAGGTGTGCTTCTGTACTCAGGAGGGCATTCCATATTGGACCGGACTTGTGGTGGTCTTTGGCCTTTGTGCCACCTGGTGTGATTACGGCGTCAATCGGCCCATGCTCTCTGAAGTCGTCGCGCCCCAACATCGAGCGAGGCAGGGGAACCGCTTAGGGGAGCAAGTTTCTAGTTTCTAGGCTCTTGCAGGGGAATAGTATGAATATGATGTCAATTGAAAAAACAAAACAAGAATATGATATTTGGGGTACTGTAATTATGTTTGAAAATGGTATATATCAACAAGCTGAGAATCGAGGGAAAACCTCTGACCAGTGAAATTAGGAATAAACCTCTGATTGCTAGCACATTTTAAGACAAACCCATCTCGGTGGACTGCTTCGGCCCCAGGATCCTAGGAGTTCTGTGTGCAGCGGCAGGGACGGCTGCTGCCTTTGGTGGGCCTTTGGTGGCTCTTGTTTCTGAGGCTGGGAGCCGGAGGTTTATGGGGTGGCCATGTCCCTGTCCCTATCCATTCTACGTTTTTGTGCTGGGAAGATACATCAAGTCCCCACACTGTCCACACTTTCATCAATGAGATCTTAGCCTCAGTGATTCCTGGAGGGAAAATGAAGAAGTGCTACATTGGACTCAAGCAATGGTATTGCAGAAAGGGCGTCTCCAAGATGCCCTTGCAAATCTGCAAGGCATTCTTTGGCTACAAGACGCAGCGCATACCCATAAATCAGGTTCCGGAGGAGTCTGCAGGGACGGTTGCTTCTGTTGCCAATGCTGCCAGTGGGTGAGCTCTATAAATCTCACCTGAAAAAAGTACACAAGTCAGTCATGTCAGCTGCAGAGGGATTCATTGGAACTGTGGGAGGACATCAGAAAGATTAACGCTGATGCTTTGGGCAATGGTCTGACTTTAGTGCCCCTTGGCTCTCCAGGCGCCTGCATGGGGTCGAGGTGAGGAATTTTTCTGTCAAGAGGATTTGAAAAGGCTGAGTTTCCGCACCAGGCAGATTTTCTGACCACACTTGTGGGACCCCACTGCGGCCGAGGTGTTGCATACCATGGACGATTTGTTTGATCTTCTACACGGCTTTGCATTGGACCTATGAAGCAGATCATGTTGCCCTCCAAAAGAAACAGGAAATGCATCGACCTCCCTCAACTGACGAGGATGAAGACTTTGAAGGCCTGCGGCCTCCATTTACTTGGACTGGTGGCAGTCCTTGTTAAATACCTTCAGAAAACAGATTTCACTCAGGTCAAACCGGCCGCCCTGGAGGAATGCAACCAGGGGTCTTTGTTGTCTCAAAGCTAAGGAGTCTGAGCAGTCTGTTCACTTGGGTGTTGGCTTGATGAAAAGATTACACTAGTGGACCCATGTATATCCTCCGGAGTAGCCCTGGAGCAATATTTTTTTTCTGGCGGATTCTATTGCGGAAACACTGCGGAAAAGTGGCGATGCTTCCAGCTTGTGCAGAAATATCTCGCTTTTTGACGGATTTCACGAACGTGACAGATGAAGAACATTGAAACACATTCCACTATTCACGCAAGCGTTAATCAAGAAGCGATACAGTACTTCAGTCGATTCTCCCTTTTTCAAAGAACTTTGTGGTAGCTTGGTGTGGGAGTTTGGACGTTTCGAACACAACTGTTTGCCAGCTTTTGGTGCTTTTCTAGCTTTTATTGTAAGCAGCAGTTGATCTGCCAAATTGCAGATACTTTGGGGAATCAAGTGCTCGTGGCCAAGGAAAACATGCAGTTATGTGATAGCAACCAAGTTAGATTGAGTCTCATCAGGGCCTTCACATGGCCATGACACTTTTTCTCATGATCTAGAGGCAATTCTGATTGAATCAAGCAAAGAGCTTGCGAATTAAGTACTGGCATTCAGAAGCACACGCAGCGAGTATTCCGAGACGGTCTCTGTATCAATCAGGCTCAGACTTCTATCCCAGATCCATAGGGCTGTTGAAGGTCAAAGGCAACCAGACTCTGCAGATTGGGAGCTGTAAATTTCAATTCAATCGAACCTTTGTCCCTTTGAACATTTGGTTGCCCCAACTGCTTGTTAAAAAATGTCGAAAACGGTCCCAAAAAAGAAAAAGCCCTGGAGTTGCCAGGCTCAGCCCGCGCCTCCCCTGAACTTTGGGTGGCTTGGTACATGGAATTCAACACGCGTGACGCTATGCTCACTAAAGTTGTTTTGAACTTCGTGGTTGAGCAAAATCACAGCATGGATTTTGTAGGACCCATCGTTGTAGATGCCATGTGGAGAATTGCAGTTCTTGTATTGTTCTTGTAAAATCAATCAAAATCCTTTCTGTTCCAACAATCATGGCGAACTATAGGCATCCGCAGGTAGAATTAGTCCTCCTTCAGCCCTGTTCGCAAAGGTATGGCCAAGCAGCGCAGCCGCCCTATGGCCAGCCAAGCCAAGCCATGGGACAAGCTTATGTCCCACCGCCAGCATATGGCCAGCAGGCCTTTAGCCAACAGGCCTATGGGCAACAAGGCTATGGCCAACAGCAGGCCTTTGGCCAAGCCTATGGCCAGCAGGCCTATGGGCAACAGGCCTATGGGCAACCGGCCTATGGACAACAGGGCCATCACCAAGGCTATCAGGCCTTTGGCCAGCCTCCCTTTGGGCAAATGCCGCAGGCTTATCAGCAGCCATATGGTCAAGCTTTTCCTCAGCTGCTTGGCCAGATTTGAAGAGAGCCTGGAGAACGGGGCTGAGCAGATTTTTGGTGCGATGAAATGCAACAAGCCAGTAGATCAAAATGTCTCTTGCAGGTTTGGTGATAGTGATTGTTCCTGTTGGCGGAGTTGAAAAATAGAGCTCTCAATGTGCCCTCCAACATTTCCAACCCAAAGGCGCTACTCCAGGATTAGCTGCAGACAGAAGGCTCTCGTGGAACTCAACCCGCCTAGGTCTGATGTTCAGCAGAGTGCCACACAGCAACTGGAAGCCCCTTGACACACTTGGATTTGATGATGCTTTGGTTGTTGAGTCGGGGGGGTTCCTACCCTTGCACCCTTCATCGCATTGTTCATGCCGGTTCGTAGTTCTAAAGATTGACCTTTCAGCTTTCAGCATGCAGATTTCTAGCGTGATTTTTGACCATTTCAAGTGATATCAGACCAATTCAGACCACATTTTCCAACGCAAAACCGAGGCATTGAGACAATCCCTGGGTGGTATGCCAGGAGGTCTTGGGGGTCGAGCTGCTAGCTGCTTGGCCAAAATCAGGTTTCCAAGTCTACTCTCCGTATAGGGGGCATTTCAATGGGAAAATCATCGATGGGTGGATTTTCCATTGAGATCTTTGATTACCAGAGGATGTTCGATTCCAAAAACTGCCAAGTTTACCTTTGACATCCTTTGACCAGAGGTCCAGCTAGTCCAGCTCCACCTGCTGATGGCTGTACCTCCAACCCGCTCTTTGCGAAGCTGTGCCCTGGCGCATGTTGGTCTTCCATCCACTCGACCACCCTCGGGTGGTGGCCATGAAATGCCACTGCTTTGAGGCACAGCACCCTGCAGAAGTTGGCCTTGCTTGAGCAAGATCCCGTAGAGGCGTGAGATGCCCCGGTTTCCTATGGTTTTTCTACCTTCAAAGCCAATTTTTGGAGGATTTTTGGGATCCGATATATTTTTTTTGGGGAGACACCTGTTGGTTCTCCGCAATTTGTGTGATCGGTTCATCATTGGATTCGCATCATGCAATGTCCTGCGAGGCGTCGTTCCAAATCCACGAAGCTTGGGAAGAGTTGGGGGCCCCAAACCCTCCATTTAAACTTGCGATGAGGCTGGTGGTGGGCAGAAAGAAAACTTGACCGCAGGTCAAATTTCCAGAAAAAAACAGATCTTCTGGAATTGGGCACAGCTTCTCGCTCTTGAGGGTCCACCGGCACTGACATCTTTGCTTCAGGAACCCTGCCATCTTTGACGAATGCCCTGCTGGAGTGGTGACGGCTTTGGTCTACCTGAGCATAGCCCAGGACTGCTGAGATTCCAAGCTATGCCGGATTCGAAAGTAATGAACCCTTGGCCGTTTGGTGCAGTACATTCCAATACAATGATTGACATGGTAAATGCAAGAATAAACCTACCATTTGGGCTTGGTTTGTACTGCCCGTTTATGGTCATGTTGGGGATGGTTTAGGGTTTAGGGGTTTTTTCGTTGGGTAAACACCACATTCTCCGCCATGGGATCGGCATAGGATCGGGACTGGAAGTATCGTCTCCTCCACCGAGCAACATACATGCTGTACTCCACGCCTGGGCTGCAGATGAGAATGGTCCGATGCCAAGCCTGGTCGGACACGTCAACTGGAAGGCAAATAGAAACGACCAAGAAGCATTGAGCTGAGGCATCAGGCCGTTGGCCGATGTCTGACAGGCTGGGAAGCAGCTGGTTCAACCTTTACGTTTGGCATATTATGTGTATATACATATAATTATATATTATATACTAGTATATATTAATATATAAGTTAAGATAGAAACGATGATATTACATAATATACATAGATATCTGGATAGGTGGATACACAGATGGATGGATAGATAGATAGGTCGCATCAGAGAATTGCATGACTCTCTTTGCCACCCTCAAGATTGAGCCAATACAATTTGGCCAGTGAGCATTGGAGCGAGGCTCATTCGAACCATGTACCATAATTCTGAGGTCTGCGGCCTCAGATTGGTTGGGATATATATTTAAGGGCTGCCGCCCCTGCCGCCGACCCCGGTAAAGAATCGGGGATTGCTGGTGAAACAGGCAAGCTGTGTGACGAGAAACTTTGGCAAATGCATTATCACAAGCAAGAAACCAGCAGCCAGACACCTTTTGTAAAACACAACCGAAACAGCAAAACACCACCTAATTTCGTGCCGAACATAACGCAAAATCAATCACAATAATAGGTTTTCGGGGGCCGAAACGTCCCTTCTGAAATCCTACTAGAAATCCAATTTTGTCCAATAGAAATCTAATTAGTCAAATTTGATTGATCGCTAATTTTGATTGCTGCTGCTACCTCTAATAAAGCAAGAAACCAGCAGCCAGACACCTTTTTTAAAACACAGCCGAAACAGCAAAACACCACCCAATTTCGTGCCGAACATGATGGAAAATCAATCACAATATTAGGTTTTCGGGGGCCGAAACGTCCCTTCTGAACTCCTACTAGAAATCCAATTTTGTCCAATTTTGATCTCTAATTTTGACTGCTGCTGCTGCCTATAATAAAGCAAGAAACCAGCAGCCAGACACCTTTTTAAAACACAGCCGAAACAGCAAAACACCACCTAATTTCCTGCCGAACATGACGCAAAATCAATCACAAGAATAGGTTTTCGGGGGCCGAAACGTCCCTTCTGAAATCCTACTAGAAATCCAACTTTGTCCAATAGAAATCTAATTTTGTCCAATTTGATCTCTAATTTTGATTGCTGCTACTGCCTCTAATAAAGTAAGAAACCAGCAGCCAGACACCTAATTTCGTGCCGAACATGACGCAAAATCAATCACAATAATATACCAATGTTTATAGTTTTCGACCAATGTTTATACCACTGTTTGTTGCTGCTGTTGCCTCTAATAAAGCGAGAAACCAGCAGCCAGACACCTTTTTTAAAACACAGCCGAAACAGCAAAACACCACCCAATTTCGTGCCGAACATGACGGAAAATCAATCACAATATTAAGTTTTCGGGGGCCGAAACGTCCCTTCTGAAATCCTACTAGAATCCAATTTTGTCCAATTTTGATCTCTAATTTTGACTGCTGCAGCTACCTATAATAAAGCAAGAAACCAGCAGCCAGACACCTTTTGTAAAACACAGCCGAAACAGCAAAACACCACCTAATTTCTTGCCGAACATAACGCAAAATCAATCACAATAATAGGTTTTCGGGGGCCGAAACGTCCCTTCTGAAATCCTACTAGAAATCCAATTTTGTCCAATAGAAATCTAATTTTAGTCAAATTTGATGGATCTCTAATTTTGATTGCTGCTGCTGCCTCTAATAAAGCAAGAAACCAGCAGCCAGACACCTTTTTTAAAACACAGCCGAAACAGCAAAACACCACCCAATTCCCTGCCGAACATGACGCAAAATCAATCACAATAATAGGTTTTCGGGGGCCGAAACGTCCCTTCTGAAATCCTACTAGAAATCCAACTTTGTCCAATAGAAATCTAATTTTAGTCAAATTTGATTGATCGCTAATTTTGATTGCTGCTGCTACCTCTAATAAAGCAAGAAACCAGCAGCCAGACACCTTTTTTAAAACACAGCCGAAACAGCAAAACACCACCCAATTTCGTGCCGAACATGACGGAAAGTCAATCACAATATTAAGTTTTCGGGGGCCGAAACGTCTCTTCTGAAATCCTACTAGAAATCCAATTTTGTCCAATTTTGATCTCTAATTTTGACTGCTGCTGCTACCTATAATAAAGCAAGAAACCAGCAGCCAGACACCTTTTTTAAAACACAGCCGAAACAGCAAAACACCACCTAATTTCCTGCCGAACATGACGCAAAATCAATCACAAGAATAGGTTTTCGGGGGCCGAAACGTCCCTTCTGAAATCCTACTAGAAATCCAACTTTGTCCAATAGAAATCTAATTTTGTCCAATTTGATCTCTAATTTTGATTGCTGCTACTGCCTCTAATGAAGTAAGAAACCAGCAGCCAGACACCTAATTTAAAACACAGCCGAAACAGCAAAACACCACCCAATTTCGTGCCGAACATGACGGAAAATCAATCACAATATTAAGTTTTCGGGGGCCGAAACGTCCCTTCTGAAATCCTACTAGAAATCCAATTTTGTCCAATTTTGATCTCTAATTTTGACTGCTGCTGCTACCTATAATAAAGCAAGAAACCAGCAGCCAGACACCTTTTGTAAAACACAACCGAAACAGCAAAACACCACCTAATTTCGTGCCGAACATAACGCAAAATCAATCACAATAATAGGTTTTCGGGGGCCGAAACGTCCCTTCTGAAATCCTACTAGAAATCCAATTTTGTCCAATAGAAATCTAATTTTAGTCAAATTTGATTGATCGCTAATTTTGATTGCTGCTGCTACCTCTAATAAAGCAAGAAACCAGCAGCCAGACACCTTTTTTAAAACACAGCCGAAACAGCAAAACACCACCCAATTTCGTGCCGAACATGACGGAAAATCAATCACAATATTAGTTTTCGGGGGCCGAAACGTCCCTTCTGAACTCCTACTAGAAATCCAATTTTATCCAATTTTGATCTCTAATTTTGACTGCTGCTGCTGCCTATAATAAAGCAAGAAACCAGCAGCCAGACACCTTTTTTAAAACACAGCCGAAACAGCAAAACACCACCTAATTTCCTGCCGAACATGACGCAAAATCAATCACAAGAATAGGTTTTCGGGGGCCGAAACGTCCCTTCTGAAATCCTACTAGAAATCCAACTTTGTCCAATAGAAATCTAATTTTGTCCAATTTGATCTCTAATTTTGATTGCTGCTACTGCCTCTAATAAAGTAAGAAACCAGCAGCCAGACACCTAATTTCGTGCCGAACATGACGCAAAATCAATCACAATAATATACCAATGTTTATAGTTTTCGACCAATGTTTATACCACTGTTTGTGCAATGAGACATAGAACCCTCCTGTTGCTCCTGTTGCTGCTGCTGCTCATGGCCACCACTTGAAACGCTGAAACGCCACCTAATTTCGTGCCCAAAACGCTCCAAAATCGAGCCCAAAAAGTGCCTAACGTCCCTTCTGAAATCCTAGAAAAAAAAGAATTGCCTTTGTGATGATAACCGTCTTGTCAAACACCTTCTATTTCCTCCTGCTGCTGCTGCTGCTGCTCCTTCTCCTGTGACTCCTTCTGTTCAAAAGGCACCTGCCGGATGGGAAAACACCATGGCAGTAGTAGTAGTAGTAGTAGTAGTCGTCCGAAACAAGAGTCAAAAGTATTATTCCCTGGCACGCTCCCCCTTGCGTCTGCCGGGGTCGGCGGATATTGACTGCTGGCTACTGGCTGGGTGCTGCTGTCTTATTCCCTAACGCGCTCCCCCTTGCGCAGCCGGGGTCGGCGGATATATATATATAAGTTTTGACCTGGTGAATGGCAAAAGGCAGAAGCATCAACATATATAGTTTCTGCCATAGTTTCAATGGAACCACAGCATGGTTGCCGTCACGAGACAATGCAGTAAATAGATATATGCACATGCCATCCGGGGCCTTCTTTACTTTGATATGTTGTGGATGGGACCATACAGAGCTCGACTCAGGTCATGAACAAGCTGCCATTGAAACTGGCAGAAGTTGAGGCCGATCGTTGCTTGCTTGTGGTTTTCTCATGTTTTCTCTGGGCCCCTGCTTTGTTTAGAATTAGAAAAAGAAAGAAACTGCACAGCCCTAAATCAACGAACATATCATGCAAGTTTGAGTAGGGAAAACCAATGGATGGGACCCCAGGATGCTTTTTTGGTGCCTAAATTTCTGATGGTCCTGGAAGGTGCATGGAAGCACTGCGGCCTCGCAACAGCTGGGGGTCATCAATAGCGATGAGGCCATGGAGCTGTCGATGAGGCACAAAGACACAGTCGCTGTGCACTTCAAAACTGTGCTCTTCTACCACTTCTACCACCAGGACGCGATAGAATGGATAGAATGGATAAGCTCGGGTGGAAGGGTTTCAGAGCTGATAGTAGATGAGGCAACTGGTGAGGTTTGGGGGCTTGGAAGGCTCCTTCGCTCTGTAATTGAAGGTATTTTCCCTGGGTGATTTCATGTGATCGCTTCTTTTTGATTTTTCTTCGATGCCCCAAATATTGCATCCTTGCAGGAGCGTTCACCCTGTGCATGCAGAACGCGCTCTTGGTGTCTCCCGTTCTGGACCAGGCTGCTCTAAGTCCCGGAATGGATATGAAAGATCCTTCCACGGAATATATGGGTTTGTCCGAAAATCGGCTACGCCCCAAAAACTGACGGTTTATCATGGTTTATCATGGTTTATCATGGTTTATCATGGTTTATCATGGTTTATCATGGTTTATCATGGTTTATCATGGTTTATCATGGTTTATCATGGTTTTCCCTATTGAAATACAGTATCCATTTGGGGCTATCCACCACTGGCGCATATGTGCCGGGAATCATCGCCAGGTTCTTGACCAACAGTAGTGTGGATGTGTGGCTCGCTGCACGTGATGAACAGAAGACGTTTGATTCTCAGCGTGGCCCTGGTTTGTTACGTAGACTTGGAACGCCCATGGTTGCTATGAGAATAAGACGGTCATCCGGGATCCGAAAATTCGGTTGCTTTCAAATTGTTTTTGAGACTCGCAGCTTTGAGGCTGTTTCGGATGGACCGAAGTGGCTGTCTTCGCAACACAGGTCACAGGCAGCCTCCCGTATTCATTGTGTTTTTGGCTCTCTGTCATTCGTTCACCCACATTGCCTTTCTTATCCGTTGTTCATAGGTGTACCACAGTGAGCTAATGGCATATATTTACCACATTGACCTGGTGGCATCTAACACGTTGGATCGACGCCAGTTTGTCATCCAACTTCTTTGCCGAGCCCATTGATTTAATGTTTGTCTTTGAGATCAACGCCTTCATGTCCGGGAACCCGGCAGTTTCAACGCCCTAGGCATCTGGTTCAGTGGAAACCTCCGAGGCATCCCATTGCGCGTGTGATGCCCGCTAAGCGGGTGCTGCTGTATCCCACGTGCGCCGTTGAGAAAAGTTGTTGTTGGACTCTGACATTGGCAGGGCATCGAGAAAAGAAGCATTCAAGAAACAGCTTCAGTGACGTTGACAGCATTTCCAAAGCTGTCTATATATATATGACTAACAGGTACGACCTCTCAGATGACCAGATCTCCAACTTTGAGGAGTGCCAGACGGAATTCGAAATGTATGCGGATTAGTCGAACGATCAGTTGGTTTGGACATTAAGATGAATGTTTGATTGAGATGTTCTGAGTCCACTGCTCATGATGAGATTATCATATCCAATTTTCCTCTCCAAATTATCCAATCACTGGCTCGCCCGTGCGAGCTGCCCGCAACATCAGGATTTGGGTGTATCGGTGCTCCCGGATGATGCGGTCCAAGCCTTAAATTTGTGGTGCCTTTTGACACCACTGGGAGCACACTTCCAGGATAGGTCTTCAGCCAATGAGTTGGGTTGTCTGAAAATAGATTGCCCCTAAATCCAATGGTTAATATTAATTACTAATATTGGCTAATCATGGTTAATCATTATTTTCCCTATTAAATTGGCTAAAATAGGGGGCAAAACCCTACGCCCTTTTTTCAGACCCACCCTGTTGGTTGCGGATCTTGTCCCGAGATCCTGAAGCCTCCGAACCCGGCCTTCCGAAAGATTCTGGAGGAGGAAGCGAAGGGAAGGACGTGGGATGTGAAAAAATTGAATCAAAAAGTGGGACAATGATGCCATGCCGGCCATGTTTTTTCGGCCTTGTTATGTTGTTTTTTGGAGAATGGGATCGTGAATCTGAAGGGGGAAGTGGCCAAGAACACCAGATGATTTGGACACCATCCCACTGGAGCTGGGAATCGATCTCTTCGTGAAAGACCTGTGGCAAACCAGGCTGTTGCAATGCGGCAAGCTCGGCTACAAAGGCCCAAGGACAGTTGGGGCTGAGCATGGAGGTCAGTGGCTCGTGACCCTTGGGCTAAGCTAATTCTGAAGTTGCTATGCTGACGTTGGTGTTGCGGCCTGCAATGAAAAGACGATGGAATCTTTGTTAAGCTTTGGGTCCTGAGGCTGGGAGTGATTTCACAAATTTAAAGTTGGAAGAAAACTTTGTGAGTAGTGCTGGCAGCCTGTAGGACAGACTGCTGCTTCTACCGGCGGACATTCGGTGCGGACCTTGACTTCCAGGTTCCTCAAGCTTGGGTGAATTTCACGCTCCAAACGAGGGAGAGAAGCGATACAGCACATGGAGACTACATGGAGCAGTTGGAACCATGTCCAAACTTGTTCACAGACGAACTGGTTGAATGAATGTAACCATCACTGAACTGAATGACTTAATGTCTACAGGAGATGCAAATCGACAAGCCTTGTGTTGTAGCAGCGGAGATGAGGCCCATCAAGGGCCAATTGGACTTCTTGGCCGGTTTAGTCTTTGAAGGGGTTGGGTGCCCAGTCCTCTGCAGTTCCCAAGTGGAAAGAGCTGGGGGAGCAACCAAATGCTGCTGTGAACTTAGGCACGACGTCCTTCTGCTGTGCAAAGATTGCTGCGTGCTGAGCAACTGCTGGGTATGGACTGTTGGCTTGTGGGCTGCTGTGACATTTCTTTCAAGAAAAGCTCTTGGGAATATTAGCAACCATCAATATATCATTTGTATTTATACATGTAGAATAACATGTGTATGTATATATATATATATGTATATGTATATTTAGATAATAAATATATAAACATGAATACATAGATAAATGAATAAATAAGAAAATAAGTAAATAAGAAAATAAATAAATAAACGTACATATATATATATGAGTAAATCGTTAACATGTAATAACTGGCCACTATCATCAGTATGTAATTCTAACTACATAGTTCTGGAATGGCAGGTAATAGTCAACAGAAAGGGATCCTCACTCTGCAAGGCGCGGCCTTACCCTGGTGGTGGCTGGTGGCTGCGATGGCAACCAGACCTACTGTGCCGAGGTGGCCGTGGGACAGGGTGGACAGCAGGGACATGGCGGTTTACCCTGTTTAATCATGGTTAATAGTGGTTCATAATGGTTTGTAGTGATTGATAATTCCTTTGATCAGTGGGTTTGGGTTTTTGGGTTTCGTGTATTTGGAATAACATTCCGAACTAAAATGATCTTCCCAGACTATAAACCTGCATTTAGTTGGCGGATTTCGCAGCTAGCCATGTTTGATGGCACCGGAGCGTAATCGAAGCCAGTGGCTTCGGCCGTAGGCCCTTGCTATCTCGGGAAGACCAAACCATTTCCTTGAGGGATGTCCATAGCTACCAAAAGCACAACAACGACCCGATCTCTAAATGATTTTCCCAGCAAACCTCCATGTGTATTCCAGCCAGGCACTTTTGCGCAAACGGAGGATACCAGCTGAAAAACCACTGGGGTGAAGTGCCCCAGAACCATCAGGTCGTGGCCATGACACAGAAGATCAATGCGGAAAAGCTGCTGAACGTCGTCGTAGCGGATCAGCTCAAGGACCGAAAATTAGGACATTCTCTGGTAACTGGGGAGAAGATGTTGCGAGGAGAAAACTTCTAAGTCACTTGAGAGTCAGAACTTTGGTAGAGATAGTGTTGTTTGATCCATATCGACACTGGTAGCTTAGTCATAAATGGTTATGAGTTACGACTTGTGATTTATGCTTATGCATGCGTACCCTCAACTATGCATGCACGATGGAATAGTTCTCCCGGTATACAATAAGTCAAATATTGTTTTTTTTGTTTTGTTTTGTGTTTTCGTGATAAATTTACAAAAATATTGGTTATTGATATTTATTCCTTTTTCACACACTCTATCACTCTATATGTTTTAATGATGAAGAGATGTTGCTCATTGGCAAAGCAATATTTTTTTGCTTGTGATCGTGGAGGACGATGAGTTGGCACAGCTCTTCACAGCATCTTTGGGAGTGGTTGGACACTCACGGAGCACAAAGTGGTGCCTGATGCCATTTGGAAAGTGTGAGTGTGTCTGAAAATGGAGAATACTCAGCAATTTTTATTGTTGCAGGGAATGATGATAAACTCTGATAAGCCATCATTTTTTGCATTTTCAAGAGGCAAATGAAGTATCAATGGGCAATTTTCCATTGCCAACTTACCCTCCCGGAGGGTATTCGACTTGACCCCTGCCACATTTTGACATTGGAGACATTGGAATCCTAGCAGGACATGCGACGCGGCCAAGGTGCTACACCCTGTCATCGACTGCAATCCTCGGGTCGTCTATGAGGCTGATACTCCAGGTGTATTTTGGAGCTTTTTAACTTGTTGGCATGAAAATATTTGGTGATGAAATGATGAAACCAAAACTGTGGTTTCCCCTAGTCTTTTTGGTTTCCATTGCTGGAATTTTGTTGGATGTTGGGGTCTTGGCTCGTCTTGGCCAGGGACTCCTGACTGACACCCCTTTCTTTGTCACAGAGAGTGCACGGCTGCCAGCAGCTGTGCAACACCTAGGACAGCCGTTATGAAGGGAACCAAGCTGTCAGTATTGGAACAGAATCAACGAGCTGAAATTTGAGCACTTGAAAGCTGATCTTTGTTGGCACATGAAATTTGAGCAAATGAGCATTGCAAACTCAAGTAACAGTGCAAAAGTAAACAGGTATAAACATCCTAAAGATTCCCAAAGGAGCTTACTCGATTGAATTTTGGGATGCACCACTGCCAGGGTGTTAGACCGGAGGACATGTGACTGATGGAGATCCCGGCATGGTGGCGGAACGGCGGGGTGAACCCAGGCTGCCGTGCGCTTGATGCTCCAAAAGATAGCGGGTACATTGACTCAGGTTAGCCGACTTCGTGGATCTCAGTGAGGTGGGGGTTGACTGGTGGCATATGGGTATGGATCAATACCTATGAAAATACAATTTTTAGGGGGATGAACATCCATTTACCAGCTATGTTGATGTGAACTACAGGGGTACAAGGTTTTGACACACTGCCATATCACCATCATTGGCATGCCTGATTTTTTTTTTTCCTGGCACCGGCTTTTACGGCACCCAATTGATTTCGGGGGAGTCGCAATGGCGATGATCTTGCAATCCATGGGAGAAGGGTTTTGCTAAAAAAGAAGCAGCACATTTGCTTGTAGGCTTTTCGAAGCCCATTCCAATTGAACTCTAAACATCCGGAGTACAGTACTGTAGTTGAAACCGTTTCAGGGTGTAGGATCCATCACTGACTTTTTGGCTCCGAAACAAGCCTCGCCTTCCGTTGAAAGGGGCAAGATATGGCAAGATGATTACTTTTGATAGATTTTGGGACGATATATGGGCTTGTGAAAAAAGAGGCTACCCCCAAATGCATTGGTTCATCATCATCTTGGAATGTTTTTAATTTTCTTGGGAGTTTTTCTACGGTATATCGGTATACCCCATTTCAGACGTGCCTAGCAGCCGTGACTCGTTGGCTGCTTAGTTCCCCCATCTTGGATGGTTCAAACTTCAAGCCCAATATCAAACGACACATCCCAAGTGTTGATGGTCAATCTTTTGTTTTTGATGCTTAGATTTCATATTTTTTCCTAGTGAACTATAAGGTATCGTATGTACATCATTGTACATCTATATATCTAGATAATTCATAGATGTATATAGATACATGATATACATACGTTGTACCCATATATATATATTCTATCTAATGATATCTATTTATACAGAATATCCATGTTACGATCATCGGCCGCCCTCTTCCAGGCTGGCGGCTTCACCGGCCGCGCGCGAGACTTTGCCCAGAAGCACCTCAACGAGGTCGCGGTTCCTTTCAAGGTGTCAATGATGGGATCCATGGAAGATATGGAACTGGGAAAGTCGTAGGAAATCCCTTGAACTCTGATTTTTAGGTAGAAAAAGATCTTAGAAATCTGTGAGGTTTTTGGATAGGTATACTGAAAATGAAGAGAAATTAAAGATTTGAGTCCAAATGGTTTGGGGTTGAACATGGGTTGAGATATGGAATCCCCTTTTCAGACCATGGTTAGTGTCCAAAGATAGGTTTTCCATATGTTAAGATAAACTGCAGGATAAAACGGCAGGTTTAATGATTAAGATTTCCATGAACCATCAAATAGTCATAGGATTTTGGGGTACCAATTTTGACGAACTTATGATACCAGTGGATTTTTTTTTGGTACTCTAGCTGACGGACGAAGCTATAGACTCGGATAGGATTTTGGTCCAATAAAAGAACTATTGGTACCCCATTTTTGAGACATAGCTTGCATGACGGCATTCGCAGTGAAACTCTCTCTCTCTCTCTCTGCATCTCTTTTCTGTCCCTTTTCAGCCACCCTTTCAAAGTACAGACTCATGCCTCTGTTGATTGCTCCATTGATCGAGTTTCACAGCATACTTTTTGCTTGCTCAGTTCACGTAGCCTTCATTTCAATGCTTTCAAGCTTTTTAACTATGTGTCTACATGTCGAAATTGCAGGTGGACAATTACCGGAAGGTGCTGGAGTGGATGGACAATAAGTGCCCCAAGGATCTCAGGGTGCGAAGGACAGCCCCCCACCACTGGATGTTCTCGTAGATTGCTGTGAAACTCCGTGCCTGCTTGGTTGCAGGAAGGATTTGAGTCACGTGACGTGCGGAATTGTCAACTATAAGGATGCTCGAAGCAATCAGGAAACTGCGCAGAAATAGGCGGATGGTGACCAAGTTGCTTTCTCACCATATTTGATGGGTAGCCATGACAGGTACATCAGTGGAAAGGTGTCTGAGCCCACCATCAGGGGTGAGGCTGGTGATTCGCCCTGATTTCACACATTTAACATTGAACAATTTCTTCCGGGAAAACAACTTGAATGTGATGTCCTCAAACATCAACCTGTCATGCAAGAGGCCATAGCCGGTTGTAGATTTTCTTCTGACTTTTTGTAGCTGCGAAGGAGGCGCTCGATGGCCTTGGGGGTCTTGGTGGCAACTTGGCCAGCATCCTTTCAGGCGCGGTGCGGTGGGAGCTTGGGGTTGCAGCGAGTTGCCGTGGAGTCCCTGGAGTCGAGAGGTGCTGGTGGCGGCCTTGGTGGTATTGGTGGCCTTGCTGGTCTTGGTGGTCTTGGAGGTGCGGCTGGGGTGACCAAGCAGCCTCCAGGTGTGTATGCCATGTATGCCATAGTAGTTTCTATGTTCAAGAGCATCAGGAGCACAAAAAAAAATACCACTTGAACAAAAGTCAGCTGATCACTAGAATGCCAATCACTTTTGAGCCTGGTCTGAGACACTGATAATCACTGATAGCTTATGATATCTTGTGTTCCGTGATACTTACAGTGCGCACGCTTATCGTGGCATTGATCCAGCTGCAATCGACAGCTCCGCGAGGTGGCGTTGCCAGCCCACCACCACAGCGCGCAGCAGGAGGCGATCAGTTTGTGGTTTCGGCGTCATAAAAGCGCCATTTTTTTCAGCTCACTGAAGCGATGAGCTGACAGACGAACATGAAGATGTGGAACATGTTGAATATTCAGGAGAGAAGAGTGGACATCCAGAATCTGCGGCTGCCTTTGCTTTATGTATCCGGTTTGTTCTTCCAAGATTGGCTCGTCCTATTCAGGGTTGGATCTCTGCAGTTGGCTCGTCCTTTCTGTGGTACCCTGACGCAGGAGGCAACATGGGTTTCAACATGCGGGAGCTGGGCAGAGGGCTGCTTGTCACAGGCCAAGACAGGTGTGATGAAATATGATGAAATGCTTCAAGGGTTTTCATTGTCGTAGACTTGCTTAATTGCAAAGCAGCAATGGTTTAGATAGTAAACAGTAGCATAATTGTCATGGCAATCTATCCCGTCAACTGCGTCAGGAGCCGGTGCGACGATGAAGTGATGGTGATGACACGGTACTGTGCCCTTTGCGCCGTTCGCGTTGGAGCGAGAAATTGAAACTCCCGATCCCAATTGGGACTGACCAACTGGTTTTGAACTTCACGTTGAAAGGGCTCTTGGAACAACACAAGCTACTTTCACAGCCCACAACAGACAAGAAATTACTTTTGGCGTTGTTGATTTTGCTGCACATGCATGAAAGAAACATCGCTCAAGATGATTTCTGAAGTGTTTAAGCTTATTGGCTGAGATTGACGTTTCAGCTGACCACGTGGTGAAAAAAGGAGACTCCCTTGCACGGCCGGCTGTTCTTTACTTCCGAGCAGAGAACGGACTGACTAAAACAGCAATCCTGGAGCAGCCACATAGATCCATATGATATCCATTTGGTTTAAGTTTTCCCTCCGTGTGAGGAATCGCTCTTCGCAATATCAGTGTCTAAATCTGTCTAAGGGTTGGTTTCTGCCTACCTGGCCCTCTTCATGGCCGTCATTGATGGATCCCATAATCCCATGATCCCAGGATCCCATGGTCAGAGTGGTCGCTGATAGAACTCTTCGTTATTTGAGTCTTGGGATAGGTCGGAATGGTCGGATAGCTTTGAGGTTTGTTTTCCGAAACCGTGTGAGATACAGTGAAGGGGAACTGAATCGCGAAAATCGCAATCTCCATACTGTTAGGACTGGTTTTTGCTCAGGATCCCTTGATGGCCGTCCAAACCAATTGTTCCCGAGTACGGTGGTTAGATATTTGTTCCAAGATTTTGTCATTCTTTGGATAGGTCTGAGGTTGGACGTAGGCATGCTTACCCTCTTGTAATTTAACGTAGCTATTGAAAATGGCCATTAATAGTTGATTTTCCCATGAAAAATGGTGATTTTCCATAGCTATGTTAGTTTACCAGAGGGTAGCTTTCCAAGTTTCTTTTTCACCGCAGCCTCTCTTGGTGCCACGATCATTGCCCATTAGTGCCGCAGTTGTTGCAATGTGGCGCCCAGATCCAGGACCCTGTGTGGTTGGGCCCCCCAGGCATCAAGTTGGAATGATCTGGCGACCAGTAATCCAACATGGCTGGAAAACATCCACTGTTGATCGACTTCGATGATTTTCCCAGCCATTTCCCAGCCATCCTATGTAAACACCTCCGTTATAGCCATGATGACCAAGGCACAGGTGGCAGATTGGGGTGAACATCCAGATGACGTCGAGTACATGCGACAGTTGAAGGCCTTGCCGAAGAAGGTCTTGAAGAGGCGGAGGAGTCAGCGATCTGCGATCCGTTTGATTGTTTGGAGCAACTGGATTGTTCTTGGCAGAAAGCCAACTTGACGCTGGAATGGTTTGAAATAAGTTGAGATATATATACATATATAATCATATATTACATATATATATACACATACATATATATAATAAAATAATATAAAATAAATAAAATAATATCATATAATATACTATGATATAATATAATATAATATATTAGATTATATATTATATTGTATTACATTATATTATATTACATTATATTATATTATATTACATTATATTATATATTATATTTTATTTTATATTATATTTTATTTTATTATATTATATTATATTATATTACATTACATTATATTACATTACATTATATTATATTATATTATACTATACTATAATAAATTACATTATATTATATTATATTATATTGTATTATATTATATTATATGATATTATATCATACTATATTGTACCATATTCTATTATATTATATTCTATTATATTATATTATATTATATGATATTATATCATATTATATTGTACCATATTATATTATATTATGTTATATTATATTATATGATATTATGTTATATTATATTATATTATATCATATTATATTATATTATGTTATATTATATTATATTATATTATGTTATATTATATTATATTATATTATATGGTATGGTATTGTATCGTTTTGTATTGTATTGTATGAATATTCGAAAAACTGTAGAACCACCTATCATGTTCGGAAAACATAGAAACCGCCGAAACATACTTTTCGATGTCTCCCTGACTGGCGATGTGTTTCAGCGTGTGCCAGGCGGGAGGTTATTGCCAAGGACGGCTGAAAAAACACAGTTGCTGGTTCTACTTTCACTGACGGAGGTGGAAAACCAGGGAATTTATGGGGATTTCATCAGGTTTTCCTGGGGATAAAAACTGATTGGAAACTATGGGAAATTGGCACAAATATCATTAAAATACATAAACAACATATAAACTTCCATTTGGTAGTTTCTTGATGTGGCTAAGCAATGAACTTCTCTATATACTGTACAAAAAAATGTCGTAGTGTGATGGTTTGCCAGCAACTTGACGGGGATGCGTTTAACTCTTCCTGGCAAGGACGTGGACATCAAGCGTGTGTGCCTGAAGCAGGGTAAGGCCAGTGGGGCGGCTTGCCATAATGTCCAAAAATAGACCTCCAATTTTGGAGGGTTCATACCACCCACTTCTGGGGAAATTGGGATGATTTTATGAGTGGGATTTATTGCACGATTGATACGCTGCCAGATCCACTTCTCGGTGGCTTGCTGGAACCTCTCCGAGTATTCTCGCAGCGGAGGATTGCAGGATCAGGTTGGGACGGAAAACTGGGAGCTTTAAAATGGGTTGTACATGACTTGGCTTCTAGCAAAGTTGGCCGAAACGGGATAGAACATGATACAAACTGTCACTGGTAGTGGAATCCACTTCAACGGGTTCGCATTTTTGCGGTATGTTCAAAATAGATACTGTCTTCTTTGGACGCACCACGTAAGGCATCGAGCTTGATCCATGTGTTCTACGAGTCCAAGGATGAGCGGAAGGCTGGGCAAACGCTCGATGTCATGACAGGGAATTGCTTGAAGTCGCTTGTAATGAGGAGAAGATTTAGGGAATTTTAGGGATGGCTGATTCAAGCGCAGTATGGATGGAATCGATCAAATGGACATCCTTTTCGACATACTGCCCAGTGAAAGCGACTTGTGCAAGTAACTCCTTTTGGGCAATGGGTTTCTGCTGTGCGAAACCAGACTCGTTCTCAGCATTCTAGGTGCTGAATGCCTTCTCCTCTGCTGGCATTGATCTTGAGTTTGGGACTTCAGTCATGGCATGTCGTGGCGTTTTGCTGTCGTACTGTAAGGTTGGGGGAGAATAGTGATTTTACAATATTTTACATCGAGGTCTGCAAGGGTTCTATTTATGGTGTCATGTTTGGATTCCTCCACCAGAGAGAACCGCCAGCGATTCACCAGAAAGGGATCCTGACATGTCCCTCCACTTCGCCTGTGGCTCAGGTCCATGGAAGCAGTCCCAGTAGATCCCAACTCAAGCGCGGTACTCAGAAGCTGTGCAGCAGCACCCCAGTAGCATCCCTCGTATCTCACTCATATCGTTGCCGCAATACTGCCAAGTATGGACATATGCATAAAAGTCGTATGTGTCTATCACGGGAATACACAGGATCAGGATATAGATGCATACATAGACTTAGACGTGCATGGTGAATGTATGTACATGACAATGCACACTATGTGTGCGTTCTTCCTCACATGTGTACATTGTGCATGTCTGCGTTTGTGTGCGACCCCCACATCTTGAAAGCGACAATGATATCAGCAAATTTCATAAAGTACATTTCGGTGTGCGAAAGGTTGATATATCATGTATAATTATGATGGATTATGCTGCAGCATCTGTGGTCTATTGGTCGTCTCTTGAATCAAGCCTGCTTTGAGGTAAGAGACATGAGCAACAGATCATGTACGCGAAGGAATGCCTGTATATCCAGGACAGCAACAGCCATGTTTCTTTTCAGACAGTAGCTCTGACATGACGCTACCATCCTGTGGAGGATGAGAACACCTGGGAGGAAGGCAAACCCTTGTCACCAGAGGAGGTGAAGCAGAGGCCATAAATTTCCAACTTCTGGGGTCTTCCATTCAATCCCTTGATTCTTGAGATTCCTGGATCCGCTTTGTTGTAAGGGAGAGAGAAGCACTGCAGCTTCTGAGCCACAAACCACCTTCTGTCCATGAACTGCTATTCAAACTTTATCCTGGCAACCTACTTGAATGTCAATGAAAAAATGAGCTCTTTTTGCGGCTACCGGACGTGATCCAATTCCAATTCCGATTCATCGTGGCTTTGCTTGCAGGTTCCAAGGTCGAATGAAGTGAACGCTGCAACGTATAAGGGGAGCTGTGGGTGGATCTTCACACAGTCTACTACAGTCTACACGAGATAGATTCTAACTTATGGACACATGCGCAATTACATAGAGCAGACTTTGATATGATTGACAATCAACTTTTTGGTTCTTCCACCTCTCACCTAGTGCTGTTCGTTTCATCTTTGAAGCGAGAGATCTTCTATGCTGCCTCCGGCAAGTGTCAAGAAACTAAGAACAGTGAACGATTCCTATAATTTGGCCTGGCATGACATCTTCAAACACATTGAGCCGCAAGAGTTAGACAAGTCAGTCAGAGCGACGAGCCGTTTGACCGCTTGGTCTCCGTACAGAGAAGTATATGATTCTAGATCTTGGAGCTGGCACAGAATGAGGCAGGCTTGTCTATGAACTCACCCTCTTGCCCAGGGAGTCTTCCACTCGCACTCCGATCGCAGGAAAAATGTCTGGGGATTCCTGGGATTCCGATCGCAGTTTTGAGATTTGGGTGGATCAGATAAGATTTGCATACTCGCCACTGGGAGATACAGGCAGATATAGATTCATAATGATTCATAGATATAATATGATATAATTGGATATAGGATAAATGATGATACAAAGTTCTACCTGCATACAGAGATTCTTCCTAAGCAAAGCATCACAAGAGAAAATGCCAGTGCGTGATTATTGTCCAACAATGGTTGTGCACTGCTGTAGAATGTGCAGATCCGATCGGCACGTTACAATCGGATCTCCTTGACGTTTGTGGCTCCAGAGCTTCGAAAAAGCGTGACCGCTGGGCTGTTCCCGCCGAAAAGTGGCGCGACCCGCACGTGCAGAGGCGACCCAGCGTCGCTGTGCGTGGGGCGCTTTTCACGTGCCTTGGGGAGTACTGTGTTTTAGTGGTACCCATTTGCACTCTCGGGCTGTTGGGAAGAGTATGGAAGAGTGGCACTGAGTCCAGCTTCTGATTTTGATTCAGCTCTGCTCAGATGGAGCTGCTTGACAAGTTGGCCTGCATCCTAGCTCTGCTTGTTCAGTGCGTCCCAAGGATGTGTTAGTGTATTCATGCCAATGCAAATCGATGCAAATTGGATCTGATACTGCACCAAAGGACCCTGTCGAATATACATTCATTTCTTGTGCTGTACAAACAAGCTTAAGAGTTTATCTACGGAATTACAAACTCATGAAGCAGTGAAAAATGTAGAGTAACGGGTCAGTCTGAATGAAATGGCAGTTAGGCAGTGCTAAGTTCTGAAGTTTCACCTTAAGATCCTTAAGGGCCCATCATGCCGCAATATCCCTCCCAGCCTCCCAGGCCGGTTGTTGAAACCAGCCTTCCAGGCCATCTATGTGATCATCATCACTCCGCTGATCATGCTCTCGAAGCCGGTTCTGCCGAAGGTCACTTGGGGCTATGACTTTCTGCCACAGATGGCTTGTCATATGCACGGAAACCCAGGTGAGACGCAAGAAAAATGCTCACCGCTTGAGATAAATACTTAGGGGTTTACGCAGGTGTAGGGTCTTGAAACGAACTGAACTTTAATAAGGTTGAAGACAAGATTTCAAGGAGCTCGCAGTGCAAAATGTCTGTGCAGTCACGAGACAGCATGGTGACCCCTCATCCATTGACCTAGCAGGCGGGGACAGTAAGACCGGGGTGTCTTAGGATTCTGAGCAGACTAGATTCCTGGTCGTTCTCCAGAGAGAATGTTCTGATTCTCATGATCATCAAATCTTTGAAGGGGTACAGATACAATACATGCAATGCAATACGTTAATAACCATTGTACCTCATTCATAGCCAAGGTGGTCTTGTGTCAAGGTCGGACTTGTGTCAAGCCCAGGTGGTCTTTCCTGATACCATGCATCATTCTCTTGCATTCGGGAGATGGCAGTGGCGTGGACACAGGAATGGTCGCTTGGTTTGTGAATCAATAGACTGGGGTGGGGGTCTAGGCCTGCAACACACCTAAAAAAAACCGGGAGTTCAGGCCAACAGAATTGCATGCGATCAACATTGATCAACCATCATGGATTTATCAGGTTTTATAATGTTTCTGGATGATGTTTTATGATGTTTTATAATTAATGTTTTATGATGTTTTATGATGTTTTATGACTGATTGGTCATTTCAAATGTATGGATTTAAGGTACTTTCCGTTCCGAGGCCAGAGCCGTTCCGAAGTTCCGACTTCCGTTCTCCTCTGAGGCAATCCTGTCGTTCGCCTGTTCCATGCTCATCGCTAGAGCCCCAGCTGATGCCAGCTGAAAAAGCTGAAGATTTGGGTATGGGTCAATACCTATTAATACAATTTTAGTGGGATGAACATCCATTTACCAGCTATTTTGATGTGAACTACAGGGGTACTATTGGTTTTGACACACTGCCATTTCTGTATGTCCTGCTGTATGTCCTGCTGAAATCTGGATGCTGAAATCTGCTGTTTCTACATAAATCATCATAAATCTGCTAATATAAATACTTAAGATATACAAGGTCGCAACTGATCCAAGGGGTTCCAGATCTTATGAAGATGGAATGAATTCATTAGCGTTCTGCCTGATGTCTATGAACCGGATATGAACAGGGGACGAACATCCAACCATGCAGCAATTCTGGCATTTTGATCTCTGGCCATCCCAACTTTGATAACTTTTTTTCTCACTTAGAAACAGGCGGCTAAAAAACACTCATCAAGATTCATCAAGTACCTGTTTCTTCTTTTGATTTTTCCATATATTTTTCCATAGGAATTGGCAGCGGTCACTTGGTGGATCGCGAAATGAATCGAGGTAGCGAACCTGGCGACCGTGGGCTTCTCTCTAACCCTTTCAGCGCCTGTCGCTGCTTGGTGTCGACAGTCGACAGTCGGGTCCAGGAGTTGCTGCCATTTGGAATATGATAATTGGATGCAACATATATCATATATATATGTACAGATGTCTGTACAATCTATATGTGTATGTATACATATATAGATATGTCTATGTGTATATATACATATATATATATATAGGCATATCATTATTCTAATTCTAATATCATGTGCACCATGTTCAAAGCATGGGTAATTTTCGTATAAAAGAGGATGAACATTCGATGAGTCAGGGGCTCAGCATCCCAGCCTTGAGGTGACACTTGGATGGGAGCTGGTGTACTTGATGGAGCGTTTCGGCCCAAAGTAAAGCGTGGGCCCTCAGGACGGACCGACGGACCAGGTGAGTTTCGAACTGCTCGAGTTCGAGCTCGGAACCATTGTGATCGCACAGGTCCTTTGGAATTCCAGCGGAGTTCGCAGACATGGCAAAGGGCTGATGTGAGCAGAGTTAAGGGTAGCTGTAGCTGGCTATGTTCTTCAAGGCTGAAGCATGCTCTGTACGGAGATTGAGCAAGTGTTCAATTCTTACTAAATTCATTGTTGGTATATTTGTAATATGGGTGTGTCTGAAAATGGAATATACCCCCATGATGAACATATTCAGATGGAAAAGGATAAACCAATAGATTCATGCCCAGACACACCCATATGCATTTTGTGAATGGAAAGTTGGAAAGAGAGCTTTGCTAGCTTTGCCAACGTCATATCATTTCGAAAAGAAAGGATGATGCAGGACCGCAAAAAATATCTCTTCAACACGATACATTTACACATTCATTGATTTTACTATATATATATACGTTGGGTGGCAATTTATACTACGGTTGGTTTCTTATAAATCAAAAACAAAATAATATGCACAAATATTTCATAATTATTATACCGTATATAAATTATTATTATATAAATAGAAATCAAACAAATCCATTATTATATATATAATAGGTTATATAATTGAAGATATGCTTTAAATTACGAATAACAAAATAATAAATTATTTATAATGATAACATAATTTAATAATAAAATTAAAAATATAACAATTACTATTACTATTATTAATAATATTGTTATTATTATTATTTTTTATTATTTTTGGAATTATATACAGTAGGGGGTGAAAGGAGGGCCTGTTGCAGACAAATCCTTTATTAAGCTGCGGGGACGATTTGTTAAAAGGCGTGTTTGGCCGGAGTTACTTGGGGAAAAAGAATTAGTAGTCGAGATAGCTTTATGTTTTAGCTAATTATTGTTACTTTTGCTGGCAAATCTATTGCGTTTTAGGTGTCACACGGCTTTTTGTTGAACATATATATTTGAGGACACAATAATTTATTTATGTAGAGCTTTATTGGGGGAAAGCTGCGATTCTTGATTCTTCCTTTTTCGTCTTCTTATTTCTTCCTCCTTTCTCCTCTGCCAGCATATATGTTAGCTAGCCCTAATGCTTATATCACCCTCCTGGCTTGTGTGCCTTATGGGAGCGGGTACGAGATGGTTAGGTAGCGCGTAGAAATGGATGAATGCCAATTTGGAGATTATATATAAAATTATTAATAATTTACGGACAGGCTAATAATAATTTTGGTTGTATTGTATTTGCCAAATTCCTAACAGGTGTTGGGTTTTAATTTCTGCGGCCGGGAAATAATGTTACGAAAATGTACGTCCCCAAAAACCGGAATAATCCTGGAATCTTGTTGGGAT